CGCATGGGGACTGACCACCGACGGAATTAGAGCCACCAAGAAATGCTGGACTAGGACTTACGGTTTGTGGAATAATTCCTTTCCTGATAAGAGCCTTTTCCTTGTCGCATCAAACGGGTTCAATAGAAATTTATCCAAGAAAACTTATACCAGGATCGGCATAAAACTAATTTGATCGAGAAAAATTCAAACATTCAGTATACAAACATGTATAATCATACAAAATATCAAAATATGACAAATGAAAACTTTAAAAACTTATCTTAGTATTTTAATATCACAACTTTAATCATGTTAATAAAAGTAAACTTATTAGACGAACATCTCCCTAGTCCCTGGTTACCGGCCACACGCAACCCTTTAATAACTCACTTTATTCGTGTCAGAATTTCTGGCTTATAGGCGGTTAAAAGTAATTCAACCATGATTGAAAATAATTTTCTGAAAAATCAAACTGAATCCTGAAACCCCCATAATGTTAGACGCTTTATGGAATCCTTATCTTCACCCTTCACCGCACGCTTACTTAGTAGGTCCGTGTGCATTGCACCGAGGGGCGACAAGGTTCCTCCCCATGCAATCCACTCCAATAGGAATGTAAACACCGTCGCAGCGGTGGAACCACACCTCAGCGATGAAGGGAGAGCTAGCGGGGCACTTCAGGAAATCCACGCTCTCACCTGAGCCATCTCGTTCTCTGAGACATTTACAGAGTCCTGTTGTATCCTGAAAAATTATAGGACAATTTTAAAATCTACTAGAATATCTACTAGAATATACTGTTGTATCCTGACAAATTATAGGACAATTTTAGAATCTACTAGAATATTGGGATTCTCAAAATTAGGTGAAATATTTGCAATCTAGAAAGTGATGAAATCTTCAAAAAGAAAAAGTTTTAATAAGGAGTAATAATTACCACTCTAGGACACCGTCCATCATCCCCGGCTTCTTGTTGTGTCTGGTTCAAACAGGAGTTCGCACTTCCCAGTGTAAATGTAGCCAGCATCAGGATGACTGCACTTTTGAAACCTAACATCGTTTCTTGAATAAAAGTAGTTTATTGCAAAACGGAGCAAACGATTAATTGTCAGTTGCCTTTAACAAATAGTATGATACATTCGTTCGAAAATTTTGAACTTTGTGTAATCGTTTATCATGGTCATATTATTATTATTATGAACAGTCGAGACTAGCTATCCAATATGTACACTGTACAGTCACTGAGTAGTGAGTGCCCAATTGAAATAATTTTTTCTGGTATGACTTACTACCACCACTGGTTCGAGGAATTTTGTGTTCATTTTTTTCGAATGAAAGTTCATTTTCGCGTTTATGATAGTTTTGATGGTCGGATCGAGGCAAATTTTATTGGATTGTGTTTGGCCATTCGAATTACATTTGTCCTGAAAAAATAGAGTTGTAGCTTCTCAGATGACCGAGATACGAAGCATAACGAGTTTATTCAATACGTGTGATCAGGTGATTGGCTTACCTAATCACGTGATAAGGTGACCCCGTTAACCACCCCGTTAAACATTATGGGAATTGTTAAGGGTGCCCAATTAAGGTGTCGTGTCACGGTGTCTCATAATCACCCAGTCAATTTTGCTAACGAGATTCACAAAATGCTTGATAACTTCGTCATTTCTAATCCGTTTTGCCTCATTTTTTTCAGATCAGATGCAACATTTAATAATCTACCGTCTCTGGAAAAATTAGGCATCCAGCATGTTCAAAGAAAACAATATAGGTGTTTTGATATTGATTTTGTTTCAATAGATGGTTACCGTAATGGGTACAACAAGCCTAGCATGAAATATTTACCTACTTACTTGCACTTGTGTAGGTCTGTAGAAGCATTAGTATCGGGTGTTGCCTGCTACAGGCTATCCCGAAACTAGAAGCTTGCTTTAATAATGCTTTAATAATAATAATATGAATAGGCGTGGTCTAAAATATTCGAATTTTTAAATTTTTGCGACGGAATCCTCGAACAAGTTAGTACAGTATGCCATCTGCAAAGCAACAACTCTCAAATATAAAACATAACGGAGGTATAAGACCCAACGTTTGCACACTGACTTTTGGCCCACCCTGTACTTTGATTTCCACCGGAAAAAATTTTAACGATTATGCAGTGGCTCCATTAGTAAAATAATCAACAGAAATTAAAGCAATCTATTGGCATTGTTAATTTTCAGAAAACTGATTAACAAAAATGGGTTATGCATGGTATCACTCTAACTTCGAGATTCCGTTTCCTGAATAATTGTCTGCGATGTAAATGTTGCTTTGAGTACTCACTTCGCATCAGAGTTGATCCCATGACTTAGTTATAAATAGTTCCTCGTATTCTTATTCTCGTGTTTAGTAGAAGACAGAAGTACAGCTTCCTTTTAGCTGTACATTTTCGAAGAAAAGTTTTTCCCTTCTTCAAAGTATTACATTTAATTTGCCAATGAATTTAATTGACCAATGAAGTATTCAGAAAATCCAAGATTAGGTTAGTTTAGAAATGCGACTATAGGACCTTTAGACTTATCTCTATGAAATTATTTGCACTATTGGCTTTCTTCTAGTGTCGAAGAATACTTATTTTCATTAATTATAGAAATACAACTACTATACCAAATAAATCTCTCGTTAATCATCAAGAAGTATTAGCAAATATTATATATTATTTAAACTATTCGGAACCAACAAATTTACGGAGTCGTAAATTTGAGATCATTCCAATGTCGATACAAAAAGTATAAGATCAAGCGTCTTTTGGATTACAATGAATGAGTTTAAAAAATAAATTTTCTTCAGTCTCTTAATTGTTTCCCAATACCTTACTCGGGATTATTACGACGGGTTTATTAACGACCGGTAAAAATATGGTTCGGGAAAAATATGGCGAAATTGCTCAAAACCCACCACATTTTCCCGGTCGCCATTTTACCGGTGTCCAACCTTTCAATTTTAGATTCAAAAATTTTGTCTCAGATGTAAATTTTCTTATTAGAGATAAGCAAGTTTAGAAATTTTCGCCTTCCTAAAACTTGAGAAACAAGTCGAATTATCAATAATTAAATGTTTACGTGTATCAAATAACCATTATAACTCAATTTGTAGAAAATCTTCGAAAGAATGCATCGTTCACATTGTTTAGAATTATGAATAAATGACTGATGAAACTGATTCATGTTATTGACAGTTTTAATTAATTCAAGTTTTAATTTAACTGTTACTTTTACTTTGAGTCCTATTTCATTATGTAGAGATAGTCAATACCTAAGAAATTAAAAATTGGCCTATTTAAATCAACTTTGACAATATAAAGGATATATGACAAGAATTGGGCAAAAAGGTGAATTTTTTGCAATTTTAGCCAAATGAAGTCGAAAAACCTACAACAAGTGTCCCAATAGTCTTCTTTAGTGAATATACGACAACGATTAAAATATGAGCACCCATACCCCTTGGGAAGCCTAAAAGCTGAGTCGGCGGGTTTATTAACGACCGGTGAAAATGTGGTTCGGGAAAAATATGGCGAAATTACCCTAAACCCGCCACTTTATCCCGGTCATAATAATCCCGAGTAAGGTAAATACCACAAAATATTCAAAGTTGCGTGACATTAAAGTCTAATGCAGTCAATCCCGGTGGGGATGAAAGTTTCGGAACATCTGGTAAATAGGACTGCTTTGATAAAAGGAGTAGCAGCAGGACACTTCATAAAATCAGCCTTGCCAGGGTGAAATTTCAGGCAAATACACACGTTGTCATACGAGATCCCGTTCACCAGAATGTCCCGTTCAATCTGAAAAATGGGAGATGTTAACATAGTTACCATGGCAACTTTAGCGTGTTTAACGGGTTTTGGGTAACAATAACACAACAACAAGCCTATTGCCCATTTAAATTGAACTAGTTTTATGGCCGGGCATCCATGTCAATTTTAAGCTCTAGTAGTAGTACTTTCAGCCCCTTCGATATGCTTTAATGTAATTGGTAAATTATACAGTCGGTATAGAGTTACACTGCATCTACTGTATAGTGGATATTATACAGTAGATTTTATTTTATTACTGCAAATGCAATACGTACCATTCTGATCTCCTTGTTCGATCCATGGGTAGAGTTACGCACAAGACAGTTTTCCGTCGCTATAACGATTGTTACCACGAGGAAAACCAACGTACTTCTCACAACGAACATTATCTTTCCTAGTACATACAAACATATAAAGATAAATTAATTCAGTACAAAATTGGAGTAGTTATGCAAAACTGAAAGGTCCGTTAAGTAAAAATAACTCGCATAGATAACATACTGTATGCGTAATTCTGTAATAAAATCATAGGGTGCTAAAAATAAGAAATAGACAAACGGCACTAAGCGGCCGGAGCAAATGCAACGTTGAGTATAAAGTGTATCTTCACTTGCACTCTTCGTATATTCTGGAAGTCAAATCTTGACCTGTATAATACTGCGTTATTTCGGCATCAACTTCCCAGTTCTGCAACATAGTGACTTCCTAGTGTTGGCGTTAGATATTTTAGAAAAATATTACCCTTACGTTTGTTCATCCTTAATATAATTTTCTGTGATGATTAAAGAGTATAGCTGCAGAATTATGAAAATCGCTGTCGCCTTTTAGTGAATCGCTATAACTGTAACACAACATTATATCTATCTATATTATATATATATATATATATCATGCTGCAAAATCATTTTATACCAACTAGCCCCATAATTTTTTAATTGAAATTAGCTATTCAGAATACGGGGTCACCGTCTTTCGTCATTTGATAAATCTCGTTGCCAAATTTATGGAACATGAGTTGAGATGAGTTTCCCTAATTTTCGACATTTTATGAAGAAATCTCAGGCATTTTATGTCAAAAGACCATAATATGTGGCGTTGGCCATCGATTTCATAATATTCCGTGTATTCTTATATTATAATTTTTGGATAAGACAATAAAATAAAATAAAAGAACGTCGCATTACGTAAATGAAACTTATTTCAACATTCAATATAAAATAGCATAGTTGTATCAGAGCTTAAAGGGCTAACATACAATTTTACAAAAAATCACAGAAGTAATTATAAAAATTAGAAAATCTACAGTCCCATACAGTCAATGCCAATAGGTATAGACTTCTCTCCGCACCTGATGAAAGAGACTTCCTTGATAAAAGGAGTATCAGGAGGACATTTCATAAAGCTTGCCTCTCCAGGGTGTTTCTCCAGACATGCACAGAGGTTATCAAATAAATCGTCGTTGATTTTTGGAGTTTTTATCTGCGGAATAAAGTATGTTGCAAAGCTTTATTTTGGTTATGGCATAAATTGATAATGAAGTTATACTTACGAAATCATTGTTCATTTCACTGAATTAGGTACAACACTTTTACTTTCTTTGTAATCCAGGAAATATAACTCAAATATAACTTAGCATTGTTTCAATAACTAGGACATGAACTGGATACAGTGACGATCACTATTCTAAACAAGAATTGCGCCCGTTTTTTCGTTCTGGCGGACGCTAGATTTCCATTTCACATTTACTATACATTTAAGTATAAGCTCCAAACAGCTCACTTCAATCTTCATGATAATAATATTGATAAATTATGCATCAAATACGGGAAACACTTGAAATTTAGTTCAATTGCCGTAGAACTTAACTTGTATCTGTAATTCAAGAAATTATCAGCAAAGGTAAACTATACTCGTGTACACATCAATACACTACGCGTGCCACGTACAAATTGGGCGTATTACCTAATAGTAATATTATACATTACATGCATCATATACATTAAAACACAGTCGCGCCGCGCATTCATAGATCACAGGCTATCTATACATCACATCTCCGCAAGCAATCCTCGCGCGCGCGACTTTTTCGTTGCATGGTAACGGACGGAATGACATCTTATTCAGACCCACCTAACGCGATCTCCAAAATCCACGTTTTTCTGCCAAAACCTCCATTCGTAACCTTTCACTATTGCCTTTTTTCAAAAGGGTGAAAAGGAAAAAATAGAGAATGTAAAACTAACGATATTAATCTTATTGTCTGGCTGATTTGTGTTCTTTTGAAAACAGTTTTTCTGGATTTTCTTCTCCCCATTCAGAACCGCCACCAACAGGAACAGAATCAGCGTCCTTCTTATAACGACCATAGTCCTTCCTAATCTAATTAGTTTACAAATTTACCCAAGTTATTATCGAAAGAGCAAGGTTATAAGTGAAGATCGGTTTTAAAGAGATGAGTGTGAAAAACAAGTTTAAGAAAAACATTACAAAACGGCATAAAGTGTATTTTTAAATGTATTTTAAAATAATTAACAATTTAAGGTTTTCTGGTACAGCAATTGTGCACGACACCCTGAAGTTTCTCATATTCACTACAAGAAAGTATAAACGAATTAACAACACGCATTAACCGAAATGATGCTAAGAAGTAAACCACGCGAATAGAAAACCGAAGAACATTACACGAAGCAAACACAACTTTGAGTATTACTTAATCAGTATGTATCAATCCTTTGTGCACATTCTATGGTAGGATTTGCTACGTATTACTTCGTATGTTTATTATACTGACACAACGACATTAACGTTGTCACAGATTTCCGCGAAAACCTTGAGAGATGTACCATTGAATATGTTTTGGCCTTTTCACCAGTATGAAAAAATATAAAATTTGCTAAAGAATAAGAAGTTTAGGTCCCCAAATTTGGGCCAGCAAGTGGCGTCAAAATCGCAAATAAATGAATAATGTTATCTTTTGAGTTAGATGGGCTCCTGATAGTAACTACTTATGGGCCACCAGTAGCCATTTTCTAAGTGACTCTATCAGATTATCGGTGCCACCGGCGCAAATGTTCATTCGGTTTTATAGTTAATTTGCGATGACATATATCGTCTAAACATTTTTACGTGATTTATTTTCTTCGACTGGATAACGTGTAACGTTTAATTCTCTGACACAGAAAAAGACATAACTAAATATTATACTTTAATAATTATAGTGGAATAATTAATTATTGATAGCTACAATCCACTATTTATAATAGTCACACATCTTTAAATAATTGCACTATTAAAAAAGTTGACGGCATTTAACCAAACTTAATTACAGATTTTGTTATTTGAATCGATGAATAACGAACAAGGCTTAGTACATAACCATTATTTAGATATAATAGAAAATGAATGTATCAGAGCTAAGCCACAGTATTATCTGGAATATACATCCACTATCCAGTGATAAACAATCACATTAACGAAACTGAGAAGCTCCCATACAGTCGACCCCAGTTGGAATGTAGTGCCCGTCGCACCTTACAAACGAAACGCTTCCGACGAAGGGAGTAGCAGGAGGGCACCTCATAAAGTCTGCACTATGTTCACCAGTGTGATGCTCCAGACAAGCACACACGCTGTCAAACATGTTTCCGTTCACTGTGGGGGTTTCATCCTGCAAAACAAATGGATGGTATAACCTTGCAACCACATAGATGGAGTAAAGAATATTGTAAATTCCAGTACCAAATTAAGCACGTTCTGAAAAAATAAAAGATGTTGATTGATGTTATTTCTATTATGTTTTAAACTAACACTGTAAAGCTTACCAAGTGGGTCGGTTGGTTGTTCTTCTTTTGAAAGCAGCTCTCTTCCCCCATAACGACCGTAACCATCAGTAGCAGAATCAACTTTTTTATCGAAAAGAACATAGCCCTTCCAAGTCTATAAAATCTCTTATTTAAAATTTTATTTTTTTCTCTCGTAATATCAGTAGAGAGACAGTATGGAACATGAACATATGATTTAAAATATAGCTGCACAATGCACATGATATTTTAGAAACAAATTATGTGTTAAACAAAAATTGAGGACTGGAAAATGCTCAGGTCAAAAAATCGATCTTTTCACTGGCCTAAATGTAAATTATTTATGTTTTGATTAGGGTTACTGAATAGGTTGGAAAGTAGTCGAATCCGGAGTTCGGTATATACCGGATGTATTCGGTCGAATACCGAGAATTCAACCGAATATCGAATATTTGACTAGGTAACCCTAGCCCCAACCCTAGTATAGTTCTGATCACGGACTGTAAATAATAAAACAAATATTTTTAATAAAACAAATATTTATTTTTACGGCACAATCAAACAATATCAATAATAAATAAATCAGGGGAGGTTTGAAGAGGTTTCAAGTGCCGAAGGCCACTGCTTATCTTTAGGATTTGAGAGTGACCTGTGCTTGAAACCCCCTCAACCCCCTCAACCATCCACTACGTCAATATACTAATTACAGTATACAAATATAGAAAAATATAATAATCTTAAATTACTTATTGGTTTAGTTTGGTGACAAAGGAGAGCCCAGTTGAGTTTTAGTTTAGCTTTAGGTTTTGAATCACAGTTTAAAAGGTTAGCCATGTTTCATGGCAGAGAGAGATATCATGTGTGCATAGCCGTACCAGATGTAGAGTTTGAGATATAATATAGATTAGTTACCATGAATTAGGGTCATCTCGATTTTGGAGGGATAGCAAGTGCTTTTTAAGGTTAGATTTAATAACACCTGACGAAGCTGATAAGTCTGAATTCTTGGAAGAACCCGGGATTATCAACCCATCTACATTAGCATCACATATTTCGAATACATAGGGGCTGAGGTCATTCCAAATTTTCGTAGAGGTGTACAAAAAGTTCTGTTGGGAGATATCTAACCTCAGTAATGGGACAATCAGACGAAGTTTTTCATTTCTAGGACAGAACTTGAAAAGATCTTTAATCGACTGGGGGACATCAAATTTAAGAATTTTGAATAATTCCATAAATGTATGGTACATGTGCAGATTCTCCAGGTTCATAATTTTCTGCTCGGTGAATAGCGGTTTAGTGTGTTCAAGACAGTAGTTCTTGCTAGCCATATGTTCGTTATAAGTTCTTGAACGTGCACAGGTTAAATAGTATTCTTTATGATCAAAATTGGGAATGTTACCAAATAGCAGTCTTATACATCGTTTTTGAATTGCAAAGATTTTATTCAGCTTATGTTTAGGGATCCCACCCCAGCAACTTATACAATAGCTAAGATGTGACATAAAAAGAGCATTGTACAGTTTCAAATATTCAGATTTGGGAATGAATTTGCAAATTCTCTTAATCGATACAATACTGGAGTTCAGCTTTAAAGATAAATGATTAAGATGTGGTTCCCAGCTTAGCTGTTCGTCTATTATCACCCCAAGAAACTTTGTACATTGAACTTTTTCTAGCTGTACAACACATGGTGCGATACAGTCCTCGGTAAATAACAAACATTTCAGGGACAGAACATTATATTTATATAATCATCTTATCTAAGGCAGTGATCTGACCGTAACACATTCCTGAGTCCGTGCCGGTACAAAATTTAAACAATAGTAGTGGAAAATTCCAGGATAAATTTGCCAAATAGATATTCTGGCAATGCTCACTGCTCAGTCCCCGACTAGTATATTGAGTTACATAATACATATAAGAATGAACTCTCAAATTTCTATTGTGATTCACCGGTAGATTTCATCTCGAAATCATCTTCTGATTTCATGATTTTTATGATTTGTGAGACATATTGTAGTCATTTCAACAATATATCAATAAACTGGAAAACAGTATTGTACATATTGTTAATAAATGCACCAAAAAGTATCAGGATCAATTTCTCGAGAACTCAGGGATGCATCACTGTTATAACTAACTTTAAATATTTAATATCATGATGTTTGACTCCTGATATTAAACTTAATAGAAATCTTTAAACCTAAATTACCCTTACACTTACCTTACCCTTACCGCAACGGTAAAACTTAACAGAACATAGCCTCGCAATCGAAATAACATAATTTAACACATAAACAGGTAATCAGGCAATGTCGGAGTATAAAAATTACGTTCCCCATCAACTGAGTTAGAAACTTTAACAATATTTCACATGACATATCCTCTTTTCCTCAGAGAAAGTGTACGTGTTCAAGAAGTGCCACGATCTGTTCGTATACACCCTGTGTAAACCCACCAGCACCACAACCACTGTCAAATACCAGTGTGTCAGGATCACGTCCTGGAGCAAACCCACCAGTGAGTACCTACTTATAGTAACAGTTACAATTAAGCAATACGTATAGTAACAGTTACAATTAAGCAATACGTATAGTAACACTTACAATTAAGCAATACGTATAGTAACACTTACAATTAAGCAATACGTATAGTTACACTTACAATTAAGCAATACGTATAGTAACACTTACAATTAAACAATACGTATATTAATACTTACAATAATACTTATATGAAAACTTACAATAATACTTATATTAATACTTACAATAATACTTACATAAATACTAACATTAAAACTAGCGTTATTGGCATTTATTTCTTATACCCACCTTCCCTTCCTTCCATTCTGAATTTAGAGCCCCTCTTGCCCCAGGTTTCAAACCTCTAAACACTAAGAAACTGTGGAAGGTGGTGTTTGAGAACTGGATCCAATATGGAGTAGCTCGACAGTTTGCTTACCACAGCAGCGCCTGCACATCCAACCACTTCGTTTATAAGGGGATCAAGACTCATAAGAAGTGCTGGCATAAAAAATACGGTAAATATTTAGTATTTTTAAAATGTTTGACTTACTTACGATATGTTGTGGTCTTACCCCTGTATTTTTAATCTCTAGATCACAATCGAAACTTAATTTTGCGATTTTGTTTCTTTCAGTCGCAAAGAAGGACGGTACTTACGCTTTCGAGGAGTGCCATAATCTGTATCAGTACAAGATCTGCTACACTGACAAATGTAAGTTCTTTTCGTGATGATGGTGTATGATGCAAATAATTTTTACTGCGTATCGGTACAAATTCAAATATTAGTAGGGAAAATGTTCAGGATAAATCTGCAAAAATAGATATACTGACAACAGTTGTTGCTCAATCTCTCGCTGGCATCATATTGAGTTACATAAAATAATGAATACAATTTTTGCTGTGATTCACCAGTAGATTTCATGTTGAAATCATCTCCTGATCTCATGATTTACAAATCATACATGTATGATTGGTGAGACATGATTGGTGAGACATGTAGTCATTTCAACAATGTATGACTAAACTATTGAAATACCCGGACGT